AACAGTCAGCTGAAGTGGCCTGCAGTACTGCACCCTAACCATTGCGCCACCTCGGCTCCTTAGAATTAGGTATCCTGTGCAGAAGGGCCAAGGAAAAATGACATTTCCCCTCTGCCCCTGCTCTTTGTTTAAATGTGCAGCTTTATTTTATTCCCCTGCTGCAACTGGAGGTACTAAGCATAAATATTTTTCTCCAAACGTACTCAACCTCTTCCCACTAGTTTTCTATAGTGTATTTCAAGTTTAGTATTCCAACTGATTTAAAGATCACTTTCATTTTAATTCTTTTAACTTCTAAAAGTGGTTTTGGAACACTACTTGATTTCCTTCGAAGTTTAATAGTAAGTCTGGCAGTTCATTTCAATGTGTAAAATGAACCAATTCATGTTTATGTCTTGGCTGTGTGAGTTTAATAGTTTTGGCATTGTTTCGCCATTTCATTGTGGCTTCATTTGCAATTTGGTAATTTAGGCATATCTTAGAAATGAGATCTGCGGACTTTAAATAATCCCAAATCCCAAGATGTGAGGCAGAAATGATGGAACACAGAAATATACCTACACAAAATGAATAGAGCATAATTTCTTGAGGACTGATATTTAAAGCAGAGTGATGTGGATAATGACTCTTTTATTTAAAGTAGTCTGCTCCAATCTAGCAAATCTACAATCTAGTAGATTTGTCTTTAGTTCCCCAAAGCCAACAGATGTGCTGCATTTAAACTCCCAGAATTGCTGCCAGGTAGACCCTAAATGGTACATCTGTTGAATTTTGGAAGTTCCGTCCATCAGAAGGAAATCTGATTGGATTTTATTTTATCATTGCACTTTTTCTTTCTTGACTTTTGTTTTTATTTGTAGTTTAACAGATTAACAGAGTTGGAAGGGACCCTGTGGGACATCTAGTCTAACCCCCTGCCCAAGCAGGAGATCCTACATCTTAACTTAAACACTAATAAAAACTTGGGGGGAGGGGGTGAGATTTGAGAAGGCAGAACTGGAGGAAAAAATGTCGGGGCTCATTTACTAAGAGATTTCTTTCAAAATGGATAAGAAAAAATTTTCCTAGGAAAGGCCTTGTAATGAACCAATGTATTGATTTGACGTCGGACTCCTTTTGTTTTGAAGAGGACCTGCTGTTTAATTAAATTGCGCATGTGAATGCCCAACAATATACATATTCATGTGGATGCCTGGAACTCAGCACACTTTAAAAGTAATTTGGGCCAGGATTCTTGAAAAATTCAGCAACACTGGTGTGACTTCAGATCAAACAATGTAATGTGGTTCTGTCAGGAAATTATGCAACTGGTGTCCGAATGGAGTCAGAGAAGCTGATAAGATTAAGATAACCTTATTTTTTTTTTCTGTGAGAACACTGGCACACCTTAAAAATGAAATTATGTCGCCTGCTCTCAAAGAACTTGCATTTTTACAGTAAATAAGAGAGATAAACAGGAGCATCTTGAGGTAAGTCAATAGAGCAGGAACATTGTGAGGTAAATTACAGAGAGCATACAGAGCATATGGGGAAAAAGGCGGGAAGCAAAGAACCTCCCCCTTTATTCTCACAGCAACCAATCACAGCTCAGATTTCTTCATGCAGTTAACCAATTAGCTATAACTGTGGTGGCCGAGTGGTTAGAGTGCAGTACTGAAGGCTACTTCGGCTGACTGCCAGCTGACTGCACTTTGGCAGTTCGAATCTCAGCAGGCTCAAGGTTGACTCAGCCTTCCACCCTTCCGAGGTGGGTAAAATGAGGACCCAGATTGTTGTGCGGCAATATGCTGACTCTGTAAACCACTTAGAGAGGGCTGTAAAGCAGTATACAAGTCTAAGTGCGAGTGCTATAACTGGGTGTTCATGCAATGTATGACACCGTCCTCCGGGGGGCACAAGAGGCTTAGAGCAAACAATGCAGCTGATAACATCCAGATGTTTTATGTCCTGAGATACAATGGAGAATGGAATGGAAACATTGTGAGACTGATGCCAGGTGTCTCTTCTAAATGTTTGATCTCTCTTCCAACAGATGGATTACACCTCCTTTCCTTGCGGCTGCACCAGAGATGGCTGTGGGAATACAGAGGGGAGAGTTGAGTTCAACCAAAGTCGAGTGCATACGCATTTCATCCACACCATCATGAGATTGGAATTGGAAGAGAACCAAAAAAACGGCAACAGTAATCCTGAGCCTGAGCTATCCTTCCGGGACCATCTTCGCCCATTTGCCAACCAGGCTTCCTATGAAGAAAGGGACGTCACGCTGACGCCCGCCTTCAACTTCACCACCACCTTGGAGACCGTCAGCGAGAACAGCTGCAGCAGCAACATGACCGACTCATCGGCATCATCCAACCAGAGTGAGGATTTGGAAGAGTTGTTTGAAAGGAACGCCAAGTCACAGTCGGACATCGATGACAACGGCCTGGCTCGGATCCTCCACTTCAATGATTCGGATGGAGAAGAAGAAGACGACATCAGTAGCGTTGGCCACTGCCAGGATAATTTGAGTTCTTTCAACCCTTGCGATTTCTTCAGCGTGGATGTGGAGAACCATTGTGCCACCAGCCCTGTTGAAGAGATCGGCTTCAGCAGTAGTTCTGGTTATTTAAGAAACGTCAGTGAATGCTTGGACGAGAACACCAATCAGGGGCCGAGTGGTGTCCTTGAGGAGATCCCCGCTGGACAGGATGAAGAAGAAGGTACCAGCTATTCCCCATCTTCCTTTGAAGAAGTGGACTCCAAGAACTACATGGATCTGAGTTTTTCCTCCGACTCTTTGGATGTTTTCCAGTCCTTTTCAGATTATAATCTGGGACCTCTGTATAACTCCCTGAAGGAGTACGAGAATGTGGACAACTTCACCGTTTTGCAACTGCAGGTGCCAAATCTGCCCACCTTGATTCAGCCTGCAGATCAGAACAGTTGCTTTCTGGAGTCCTTGATCGGGTTGTCTGAATCCATCCCAGAAATCCCTGCACCTTTTTCAGACAACCAGCTTCTCGAAGATGCCATAAAATCATCTCTAGTGGAGACCATGAAGGTTTAAAAATTTTGTACTTTTTTGTTTGTTTGTGTGTGCCTGAAAGGAAAGGCTGGACAGTTCCACATTTCTTACGATGAATAAAACATTCCTTTTCTGTTAGGTGCTGGGAAGAAGATCTTCCTAAGCAGATAAATCAATATTATTTTTATTTTGGACACTTTGTGGAGAGAAAAAAAAAAGTGCTAAAGTTTTTGTTTTGTTTGTTTTTTACTATTTGTGAAAACCTTTTGAGATCTTAATGGCATTTCTGGGGGTGGGGGTGGAAGGCGAATTTTGCAAATTCAAACATAATTTTCTTGCATTTTGTATGAGAAGGGGGGGGATGGGGAGACTTTGTAAGGAATATCACTTGTATATCTTTAAGTTTGTGGATTACTGACCCAGGCACCTTCTACAAAATATGCTGAAATATTTGTGGACAATTTTTCTGCAATTGCTTCGTGAGAATTACAGAAGTGTATTTATTGTGCAAATGATTTTGCTATTGATGAAATGGGAAAACGTTTACAACCGGGGAAATAATTATGTTGTTTGCCTTATTTCTTTGCTCCCCTATTTATTGGAAAGGATCACCAATTTAAACAAGCTTCAACAAAGCATGGGATTTTATTTAAATTAGTTATAGATTATGTTATATATATATATTATGTACAATCATTTTCTTTTTGCATAATATATATTATTATTTATTTGTCACAGGCTTCTCAGTTAGGCTGTGGCCAGTTAAGGTGCTGAAAGGGAAAGAGATATTTGGCAGACCAGCCCTTGAGGATTTATTTTGCATTAGGTATCCCTTACTTCGTCTCCCCTTCGCCTCCTTTGGATTAAACACCAAGATGAAGACATCTTAAACTGCATCTTCTCCTTCCACCCTCCCTCCCTCCCTAATTTCTTCCTTCCTTCCCTCCCTAACTCCTCTCTCCCTCCCTAACTCCTCCCTTTTTTCCTCTCTTCCTCCCTCCTTGCAAGAATTAAGGAGGGGGGGAGAGCGGAAAGGAAGGGAGCTTCCCTCCCACTCTCCCTAACCCCTCCCTCCCTCCCTCCCTCCTTTCCTCTCTTCCTCCCTCCTTGCAAGAATTAAGGAGGGGGGAGAGCGGAAAGGAAGGGAGCTTCCCTCCCACTCTCCCTAACCCCTCCCTCCCTCCCTCCCTCCTTTCCTCTCTTCCTCCCTCCTTAATTCTTGCAAGGAGGGAAGAAGAGAGGAAAGGAGGGAGGGAGGGAGGGAGGGA